ATTTTAAATAAATTTAAAAAAATGCAAATTGCAAATTGAAAAAAAAAAATGTTAATAACGGGATGTGCCTTAAGCTAGTTGTATAATAAACGACAAAAAAAATTTTAAAAAGAAAAAACGATTTAACCCACAAAACAACACAAATTGGAGACGACAAAAAAAAAAACCCGAAGAATGACACCAAATAAAACGATAGTTGTTAAAATCAAGGAAAACGATCACAATCTACAAATGACACTGATATCAACTGTGAAACGAAATGACGTAAAAACCAGATAAACATGAAAAGCAACATTATAAACTGAAAATAACATAATTTTGTTATAAGCGAAAATAACAACACTTGGAGAAGAGAATATCCCAGAAAAAACTATCAAAAAGAACAAAAAATGACAGAAATTTATAAAAACGACAATAACATCAAAAAAATAACATAAACAGTAAAGGCAACAAAATATATACACGAAATTGAAACACATGAATTTCCCTAAACAACATGAAATTAATAGCAGTGAAACCTAGATGACGACTATCAAAAGATAGACAGAAATTTGCAAAACGCCACAAAAAGACGAAACTAAACAAATGGTTGAATTTCCACTCAACCATGGAGGCTCTGCCAGACTGCCACTATATGCCAATATCCTTTGGTTATAACTATTAACTTCTAACAGTTTAGCCAAGAGTGTTGAAGGGAGTGTTGAAGGCGTATGCATATGCATGACATATATATATATATATATATATTATAAATATATGTTACCGTTATATAACCGTTATTTTGACTTAGAGGTGGAAAAAAAAATTTAGAAACAGTTGAATGGTTTGTTTTCAAATATGCTAATACAGGTAATGAGAAGATATGGCCATATAATTGCAAAACATTCCTGTCAATATCGACATCATAAATCTGATTGATGCCAATATAATAAGCATTTGCAAGTATTATAGCACTTAGGCCAGGAAATGCCTTTGAAGTATAAAATTAAGCTTTTAGGATGGATTGGTAAACTAACATGGTATCATAGCGGGAGGTCATGAATTTAAATCCCCGTAATTGCACCTTTATTTCAATTTAAATTGTCATCAGGTGTTGAGTCTTTAATATATCTCGGGTTTAAATATTCACATGTTAAGCTTTCTAATTAATTTACACACACGATTACCCATTATTCAGTCTACACACAAGGGGGAGTGTTAAAGTATAAAATTATATTTAGCTCATAGTTTAAACTTTTAGGATGGATTGGTAAATTAACAAATATTAAAAACCATTTAAATAGTTCTGGGTATTAACAAATACTAAAGACCATTTAATAGTTCTGGGTTTTCAATGAACACTCTTGCAAATAAAGAACTGCCAAAAAAGAGAGAGAGAAAATGACATATATGAGGTTATAAAGTACATATAAAAGGGGAAAAAAGTAAAGTACAAACTATATATTATATTTCATCCAAAAAAAAATAGAGAGAGGGGTTAATTATTTCTCGCAGTGTAATTTATTTTTGCCTCTTTTTTAATTTCCTGTAATACTATAGCTACGTAATACTAACACTGACGCCAGAATTGCTTGTTGGATTGCATAGGGCCTGATGAATTCATAGCTAGCAAGTCCAAAACGTGAAACTTTGGTAAGCACAGTATCAGAATCAGTCGATGCATCTTGAGCGCTTGCCTGTCACCATTTTCTTTCAGTTTAATGTGGCGAATACAAAAGCGATTACACAAAAGCAATTACACCCACTTAAAAACGTGACATGATATTATTTGAAGGACACGAAAAGTGAAATGCTTCTTCTAGATCATTAATGGGAAGTAAACAATATATACTATTGATACAAACATCCTTTTTATTTCAGTTTATAAGGTATATTTTTGTTTCTATTTTCTGGATTGTTATTTGCCATCTGAACCTTTTTATTTCTTTTTGTAAATTTTTTTAATAAATTTGAGGGATCTAATTTCAATTTTTTCCCAAAAGTATCCTTTAATTTAAGAATTATGTTTATCCTTAAAAAAAATACATTTAAGAAGTATGTTTCAATTACATCCCTCAACCTTTTTTTTGTGAAAAACATTAAAAAAAAAAGATGATTACTAAAATGCCCTTAATTAATAGGGCTAAGAATACTCTAAAAATTTTTTAAAAAAAATTAAAACCATATAAAAGAACTTTTTTTTTAAATAGAAAAGCATACCCATCACCCCAGCCATAATGTCTTCAAGAAAAATATAAAAATTTTCAAGAAAAATATAAAAATTTCTTAAAAATTTAGGATTATTCTTATCTTTTTGCTCTGCTTTCTGGTCCAAGTGCAGGAGGGATGAAACTGAAATAGGATTTTTAAATTCAAAAAACATATATAGTTTCTAAAAATAGAGGATTAAATTAAAAAAAAAATTAAAACTAGGACGTAGAGACTTATCATGAAAATAACAATTAACCCTAAACAATAATACAAAATTAATTACAAAGAAAGAAAGCTTACCCGGATGGAAATAGGCTTCTGTTGTCCGTATAATAAGGGATTTTGAGGACCTGCTTTTGCCATACAACCCCACTGGTAGGTTTAATATTTTATTGGTGGAACATTTAGAAGGAAAATAAGATTTTAATGTAACGTTACGTTTGGGCTTGTAACGACTAGTGGTAAGTGCTGGTATTACTGGAGTTGAAGAGTGAGAGATTGAGAGCTCCATGTGAACTAAACCAAACCAGAAAAATGAGATCAACAAAAAGTGCTATATTCTAAACAAATGGTTCAAGAGCTTCCAAATTTATAGTGGAGTGGTGGAAGAGATTGCTATTTATGGCAACTAACCTGCTTGTCTGCATGCATCTTCCATATTAATTATGGCAGTTGCCTAGTCTATAAGGTTAGTCCTCTTCGTTGATTTTGACTTTGACTGTGCCCGGCTTGGCACAAAACAATTTTTCACGTGAAGATTAATTATTAGAAGAATTTTTGGTGGAAGATAATTAATATTAAGATAGACAGTTGTTTGAAAGTTGCATGCACGTCCAAGAAGGATGGCTAAGGCGTTATGTGATAAGGTTAGGGTAATTCAAACCTTTTTGTTACACTATTTTTTCTTATAAAAATTTAAATCTCTTTTTAAATTTATACACCAATTGATATTGAGATTGTTTTGACAATGTGTTTGTGACATCTATCGGCGGAACTATTATGTTGAGGAGTGTGGGTGCCATTGAAAGCAAAAGGATTCCACCACCACCACTACCAAGTTTCAAAAGGAAAAATGACAATGAAAGCTTTTTATTTTTACTAATATTACAGTGAATCAATGATACCTACTTCACTGAGCTTAACTACAAGTTTGAGTCGGATCAAACGAGTTGGCCCGATACCTTTTTTTCTTGCCCGAGTTATCCGGACTATATAAAGACTCGACCAAAGTAAATGGGACTAGGTTGAGCCGAGGTTCTAGGACCAAAAATCTTTTTTATTTTGTTTTTAAAATGGGGAAAGGAGACAAATACCATGAGTTAAGATTTCTACCATTTTCTCTTAATTAATAACTTTTTAGTCAAATAATTATACTAACAAAAGTGTATTAATCAAGAATGAGGGGTAGAAATCCAGACCTATACACTCTTTAAGGATCATTACGCAATTTTCTCTTCTAATTTTCAGTGGCGAGAGATGTTTATACTCTTGAAACTGAATCTTTATTGTCATGCAAGTCTTCAGCGGATTGAAATTTAAGCCTTGGAACAACTTCTAATTTCTCGCCTTCCATATTGCCCCAAGAGCGCTTGATGAGATCTAATTGATGAGAAAGAGGAATTTCAAGTAGAGCTGCAACTTCTTTGTCGCTAAAGATGTCTCAGTACTCAATTCTCATTCCAGGTACCATCATGCTAAATTACTTCTGAGGCCATGTATAGCCTCACAGCTTCAGCATACTTCGTGGTAGTCTTAAAACCTTTGACCAACGGAACCCAATTGTTCTTTCCAAAACTTGATACATCTCCCATTACCTTTAGCACTAAGCAATATAAATAAACTCGCCTTTTGAATTATTACTTTTATGTCAATTTGGCCCCAATTTAAAAAACAAAAATAAAAATTGGGTGTGTTGGTGAGGGGAGGTGGTGGTGCTAAGTTAACACAAAATCAATAGTTCCAATGGACATTTATGAGATAACATATAGAGACATTTGGTTGACGGATTAGAACCATGTGATTAGAACTATTTTCGATTTACGTCTATTTTTTATGAGAGAAAATACTATAGCGAATCACGAACCATGATTCGAATCAGGGAACGAATCTAGGTACCAAAATCAAAATAATATTCCACCCCTTGAATTACATGTCGTAGTTAAAAATACTCCTTCATTTATAAAACTAACGAAATGATTATATGCGTTATTTATACTTTTATAACGGGAAAAAACTAAAAATACCACATAAATTGATAAAAAAAAATATCATTTACGTCACTCCATTAAAAAAAATAATTACCATTCAATTAATAAAGAGAAAATAAAAGTTCATGATGACGTTTATTTATTTAGAATGACATAAACCATATATTTGTATCTTTTATAAATAGTCCAAACCATTAATTTTAAGTCTACTTGCCTCTTAAATTATTATTTATTATTATTTTTATTTCAACTTGACCCTTTTTTTAATTTCTTAGGGGGTTACAAGTTAAAACAAAGATCAATAGTCCACGGTGGATATTTATGAAATAACATTAGTTAAAGTGGTGTTTTAAACCGCTTTTTTGAAAGGGACAAAATGAATTCTTTTTTAAATACATGGGAGATTCAGAAACAGAGTATAAAGTTTACGGCGATTCATGAAATTAACATTTTTTATTTTTTATTTTTTTTTGCTAAGGCAAATTAACATTTGATTTAATTTTGCAATCTACTACTCATGGTCATGGATTTTAAGCGGTTATTGTCCATTCAACCTTGTCCACGACCACGCACAACCATATATAGTCTCTTGACTCTCGCTCTCTCTCTCTCTCTGTTTTTCTTTGTGCCCACATGGAGCTCTCACTCTCTCCCTCTTCACTTCGAGGACCTTCTCTAATCCCCCATTGCAACGCCACCAAAACATTACCACTCAAGCCCACTTCAACCGAATTCTTTTACTTGACTCCTTCCAAATCCTTATTATTCTCCTCCAACAACTTTGGCCTCTCTGCCCAAAGCAGGTCCTTAAAACCTCTCTTAAACGCCCAACGGCTGCGAAATTCCATCCGGGTATTCTTCATTTCTTCGAAAATCTACGTTAGTTCTTTGATTTGATTGCCTTTCTCTGGTGGGTCGAATTGGTTTTTTATCTTCTGAGAAATTGGTGCTCTCTGTGGCCTTTTCTTTTTATCTGGGTATTTTTTTTATTGATTCGAAGTATTGAAATTTACATGAATAAAAACTCTTCTTTATGATATTACATCTATCCCACATTTCATTTCTCAAAACCAGAAATGAAAAAAAAAAAAAAGAAAAAAAAGAAAGAAGAAGAAATTATTTCGGTTAGAGCTGATATGCCGTTTTCTTGCTTTCAAGTGTCATTGTAAGCAATGTAACCTGGAAAAGAGTAAACTGTTGCTAATCATCTGTTGTGGTCTTTGTTTGCTTGTATTGGTGTTTTTCTTATTACATGGTTAGAACTTGGTATGTCCTTTGTTATAACATGCTGATTAGGCTCAATGGTGTATCATTGGCATTAAAATGGAAGTGTCTTTTGCTAGGCATGTGCTCAAGTTGGAGCTGCTGATGCCGGATCGGATCCGGTACTTAACAAAGTTTCGAGTTTTAGAGATGCTTGTTGGAGATTCCTAAGGCCCCATACAATAAGGGGAACTGCTCTAGGGTCGATGTGAGTAACGGTTACTTGCTTAAAAAATAAAAATAAGAAAAAAGGTTTTAAGTGTAACAGAATGTTCTTTCTTTTAGCCAATTCGTATAAATTGTCTTAAATTGTCTTTTCTCTTGTTTTGCAGTGCTTTGGTATCAAGAGCGTTGATTGAGAACCCAAATTTGATAAAGTGGTCTCTGCTGTTTAAGGCATTCTCTGGCCTGTTTGCTTTGATATGTGGGAATGGTTATATAGTAGGCATCAATCAGATTTACGATATCGGTATTGACAAGTACGCTGTGCAAGTATATACACATCATTGATCATTTCATTGCTTGTGTGAATATTTTTGGATAACAATAAGTGCAGTTGCCTAAATCTAAATAATTGTTCCGAGAACCGGAATAAGGTTTCTGCTGCATCATGTGGTTTAACCTTTTGTTCTTTTCATGTTGGCTAGTGCATGTACAGGGCATCTTTTACATCATGAGTAGCCATATTTGGTGCATATAACCATCGGCCTTAGAGACTTTGGATAATACATTTTTAATGGACTGCCTATTAGATATACTTATGTGAAGCGTAGTAGAATGGGGATTAGAAAGGGACTTGCGGGGTTATGTTAGTCACATGAAACAAGTGGGGTTTAATGGTAGTTAAGACAGTTAGAAGAGAGTTGTTAGTCTATAGTGGGGAATACTGAGAGTATGAAGTAGAGAGTGATTAAAAGGAAATCGGGAGGATTCGAATTGGTTGAGAAATTAGTTGTGGTTTTTTACTGGGAAAGTCTTGGTGATCCAAGAACGGGAGAGCTAGAAGTCTCTCGAAGAACTACTGCCCTTAGGTTCTGTAATAGCCCTGGGGCTTCATTTTTCATTCAATAAGTGATTCAATTAGTAATCTTTTTTGTATTAGTCCACTATTTCACCTTAGATTTTTTTTTTTTTTTTTCCTATCAATTTTTCTAGTCTTTGAATGAATGAAACAATATCTAGGTTTAGGATCTTGGCCATTTTGTTTATTGTTGTTGTTGTTGTTGTAACTTCCAATGCAAATATGTTGTCATAATTGGGTAATTTTTTTTGAGAATTCAAATTTAGAAATCCTATTTAGCTTCACTTGTTACATTCTTCCTTGCTTGAGAAGAAAGAAATAAAACAAAACAGAAAAAGAAGTAAATACTTTTTGATTTTGCATGTTGGCGAACAAAAATCTTGATAATGTTACGCCATATTTTTCCAATTAATCAATGCTGGCAAAAATAACTGAAATTCTTAGTCTTTATGTGTCATTTTCAGGGTAAACAAACCATATTTACCTATAGCGGCAGGAGATCTTTCAGTTAAATCAGCATGGTTGTTGGTGGTATTTTTTGCACTGGCTGGTCTGTTGATTGTTGGATTCAATTTTGGGCCATTCATTACATCGCTCTACTGTCTTGGTCTTTTTCTTGGGACCACCTATTCTGTTCCTCCGTTTAGATTGAAGAGATTTCCTGTTGCTGCATTTCTGATAATTGCTACGGTATTGTTATTTTCTTCGGATCCTCTAAATCCTGCAATGAAGTTATTTGGTATTTTTTATGTACTGTCACATTATAGATTTAGTGAGCTCTCGACAACTAAGTGGCTTGAAATTGACAATTTTCATAACAGATGAATTGATGATGCCATGTAACTGCCTTGCGAGGCACAAATTTGGGCAGAAAGTAGATAAAAGTTGATTACACAAGTTCTATATGTGTCAACAAGTAAATTCAATAGAAAGAAAAGAGGATACTAAAGTATTAGGCAAAACATTCACTGGGCAGGGCCATGGAAATCCATGTAAGAAAGGGGTAATCAATCAGCTAAATGGAAGGACCATTATTCGACTAAGTTTGAGATAGGAAAAGGACCACATACGTGATAGCACACGGAAGTGGAATATTTTGTTTTAAGAAACACTTTGGTGGCATTGAATGTCCTGTTCCTATTGTTGCATTGAGTGATTTGTTCTCATAGTGTTTTCCTTTTCTATTATCTTAAAATACTAACAAAAGCAACATTTGCAGGTGCGAGGCTTCCTTCTCAACTTCGGTGTATATTATGCCACGAGAGCTGCCCTTGGACTTACATTTGAGTGGAGGTGGGTTATGAGATCTTGTATACGTTGCTTAAGTAGTTAAGTCATGTCATACATAATCGTGTTGTTAGCTAATACACCCAAGTAGTAATCACGCATAACATTTCTATTCGGAAGGGAGATGAATCCACTTCAAACTCTATAATTAATGCTCCATTCTAAATTTCATAGTGAGGAAAACATGATTCTACAACTTAATTAATACAACTTACCAACTATTGCTCTGACTAGTTCTCAAGATATGGAGTTGGTCAATTATCATATCCGGTATAGGTGGCCTTGATATAGGCTAGGTAAGGTAAGATGTTTTATGTGTAGCTTCGACGTAAAAATTTGGTGAACAAAATATGATATCTTTTTGTATAACTTCGTCTACTGCACCTTGGAAATTGCCAATCCTAAGTTATCAAAATGTGGATATGATGTTAAGCACGATGGTTGGTTTTCAGTCTTTACCTTTGGTTCCAGAAATATGAGTCGTGAAGACCGCCAATCAAAACAATTAGAAGATGATTTGAAATTTTCTTTAACACTTATGTATTTGATTATCCAATTCTTTATTACCATACAACTTTCGGTATTTTGCGTGCATACACATTCATAATGTTGATGGAAATCTAATGTTTGGATTTCAATTTGACCTGCAGCTCTCCCGTTGCTTTCATCACTACCTTTGTGACATTGTTTGCTCTGGTCATTGCCATCACAAAAGATCTTCCAGATGTAGAGGGAGACCGCAAGTAAGTCCCAATGTGCATGTGTCAGTTTTAACTTGTGATTGTATTGGAAGAGACAATTAAGATTTCAAATTTTGTCTTTTCATTATGATTGTAGTGGATTTATGTATATTAAAGTCTCCAGACATTTTAGCATGCATCTTTAAATCCATCTTTTCAGAACCCAAGATTCAGTTTACGATTTAATATTATTTTAAATAATCATCCCTGCAGGTTTAAGATATCAACCTTTGCAACAAAACTTGGAGTGAGAAACATCGCATTCCTTGGTTCCGGGCTTCTTCTGCTAAATTATGTTGGTGCTATAGCAGCTGCAATTTACATGCCACAAGTAAGCATGCTTCCCCTTAAAGCTTTTTTTCACATTTTTTTTTGCAATGTTAAGATATATGTACATACTTCTATTTGAGTATTTTCTTCTATGAAATAGAGCTAAAAGAGTTTAAAAAGTCCTCTTCATTTCTTGTTTGCAGGCTTTCAAGCGTAACTTAATGTTGCCCATTCACGCAGCCCTGGCATTATGCTTAATCTTCCAGGTTTGTCATATAGCCTGTTGTTTCGCGGGTTTCAACGACAGTTCAAATCTTTTTGCTACCGAACGAGCAGCTAGTTATCACGTGTAGTGAGTATCTCTATTGGTTTTCGGACCAATTTGAGATTGAAATATGAACACAGTTTAAATAAATCTGTCTTGCTTTATTAATCGAAAGAAAGTTCACTTAAATAGACTAGGGCTTGAATACCGAGTCCATTATCTTCTCTAAGATAATCTATCCTATTTGAATTCAAATACTAATTGATAATTCCTAATCTAAATAACCGGAAATAATAAACTAAATAATAAAGATAACTATTTAACTTATTCAACCTATCGCTAAAAGATCTTATCTGCTAACACTCCCCCTCAAGCTTGGCAATAAGCCTAAGCTTGCCTACAAAATACTCGAACGTTGGTCCAGAAAGTCCTTTGGTGAGTATGTTCGCAACTTGTTGTCCTGTAGGAATGTACTCAATGCTGATGATTCCCTTCTCTAGCTTTTCAGTAATATAGTGTCTATCCGCCTCCACATGTTTGGTTCTATCATGATGGACTGGGTTGTGTGCTATATTGATAGTAGCCTTGTTATCACAGTAGAGCTGCATAGGAAACTGACAACTAATCTTCCACTCTTCTAGCAACCGTTTCAACCCAATGGCTTCGCAGATGCCATGAGCCATGGCTCTGTATTCAGCTTCAGCGCTGCTTCTTGCTACTACGGACTGTTTTTTACTGTGCCAAGTCACCAAGTTCCCCCAAAGGCGTGTGCAATATCCGGATGTTGATTTCCTATCTTCGAGAGATCCAACCCAATCGGCATCAGTGAAGATTTCCACTCTCCTGTTTTCTTCTTTTCCAAAAAATAATCCTCTTCCCGGAGTTTTTTTTAGATATCTCAATATCCAATAAATAGCTTCGAAGTGTCCTTGGCGCGGTGAATGCATTTGTTGGCTTACCACACTAACTGCAAAGGCGATTTCTGGTCTTGTATGTGAGAGGTATATCAGTTTTCCCACTAGCCATTGATATCTTTCTCTATCAGCCATCTCTCCACCAATTGCTTTTGCCTTGCCTCCTTGTTCAATTGGAGTTTCTATCGGTTTGCACCCCAGCATACCCGTTTCTTGCAATAGGTCTAGTGTATACTTCTTTTGTGATATGGAGATCCCACTTTTGCTTCTTGCAACTTCCATTCCCAAGAAATATCTCAGCGTACCAAGATCTTTAACTGCAAACTCTTCAGCCATCAACCTTTTAATTCTCGTCATTTCTTCAAAGTTGTCCCCAATAAGTATTATATCATCTACATATACTATTAGGACGGGGAGCTTTCCATCTGATGAGTGCTTAACAAACAACGTGTGATCGGTTTGTCCTTGTGAGTATCTATGGCTTTTGATCACCTTTGAAAATCTATCAAACCATGCGCGCAGAGACTATTTCAGTCCATATAGCGATTTCTTCAGCTTGCACACCATCTTGTTTCTCTTACCCTCTCCAAACCCGGGTGGTAGGCTCATATACACTTCTTCCTCCAATTCACCATTTAAAAAGGCATTCTTCACGTCAAGTTGAACCAGAGGCCAATCTAGATTTGCCGCTAATGATAGGAGGACTCTTATTGTGTTGAACTTTGCAACTGGGGCAAATGTCTTAGTGTAATCGATTCCATAGGTTTGTGTAAAACCTTTTGTAACGAGCCGTGCTTTGTTCCTTTCTATTGATCCATCCGGCTTGAATTTGACAGTGAATACCCATTTGCATCCGACCACACTCTTGCCTTGTGGTAGTTCAACCACACTCCATGTGTTATTTTTCTCGAGCACTTGCATCTCTTCAAGTACTGCGTTTTTCCATTCAGGAACAGCTAGAGCTTCTTCTATTGACTTGGGAATATTGACACTAGACAACTTTGTGGTGAAGGCACGGAAACGTGGAGACAAACTATCATATGACACAAATTTGGATATGGGATGTTGTGTACATGTTCTAACACCTTTCCTATGGGCAATTGGTATATCTAGCGTTTCACAAGTGTCTTCGGAATTACCTGGATCTGAGGAAGTAGTTCCTAGCATTGGTTCGGATTCTGGACAGTGCATGGTGTTCATGAGGGGCATGTTTCCTTGAGAATGTTTTTTTTCGAGAGTAAACACGTAGCACTTGTTGATTTGGTCCACTGAGGTCTCTTCCTGTTTTCGTTTCACGAACCGGTACTTGTGTTTGCTGTGGCATATTTTCAGAGGGTGGTATGATGTTGGAAGTGGTAAAATCGGGTGTGGTGGGTGTAGTTGCAACTGTTTCAGTTGCAGTCTCGGGCAGTGAGGTTATAGACATAGGTGGAGTTTCGGATATAGGCAGGGCAATGGTGTCCCAATCCCATTTATGAGCTTCTTGATCATGATTCTCCCCTTGAAGCGAATTGGGGGAATAATATGGCATGTCTTCGAAGAAGGTGACATCACGTGAGATAAACATTTTCTTTTGCTTTGGGCAGTAGCATCAGTATCCTTTATGGGTAGGAGAATAGCCGAGAAAGATAGTCTTAATTGCTCGAGGGTCAAGTTTGGTTCGGTTTTGGGGATGAATATGGACAAAAGTAGTGCAACCAAACGTCTTGAGCGGAAGGTTATTTATGTTTTTAAGATGTGGATAGGTCTTTGTGAGCTGGGATAATGGGGAATGGAATTTTAAGGTGCAGGTAGGTAGGCGGTTTATGAGAAATGCAGCAGTTAAGATAGCATCTCCCCATAGGTATTTGGGAACATTCGTTGTAAACATGAGTGTGCGAGCTACTTCTAATAAGTGCCTGTTTTTCCTTTCCGATACTCCGTTTTGCTGCGGGGTATCAACACATGAACTTTGATGAATGATTCCTTGTTGTAGCAAGTACTCTCCCAAGATAGACTGAAAGTATTCTCTCCTGTTATCTGTTCTCAATACACATACCTTTTTCTGAAACTGGGTTTGGATCATGTTATTGAAATTTCGTAACACTTGGCAGGTTTCTGATTTTTCTCGAAGAAGGTATACCCAAGTTGTTCGTGTGTGATCATCAATAAACGTCACAAACCATCTTTTTCCATTTGTGGTGGTAATTCTTGATGTTCCCCAGATATCACTATGAATTAAAGCAAATGGGCTAGAGGGCATATAAGGTTTGGGAGAAAATGGTACCCGGGTGTGTTTCGGATATTGACAAATATCACAATGAAAAGAAACAGTACTTTTATTCTTAAATAAGGGTGGTAATAAATGTTTTAAATATAAAAAATTAGGGTGGCCAAGTCTATAATGTCACAACATTATTTTCCTATTACTAGAAACAGAAACTGATGAAACTCTAGATGCAAATGCTTGTTGACTCTCACTCTCTATGTCCTCGAGGTAACAGAGCCCCTTATGAACTCTAGCACTGCCAATCGTCTTCCCCGATGATAGGTCCTGAAAATAACATTTAGAAGGGTGAAAAATAGCAACACAGTTATTGTCACGAGTGAGTTTACTTATGGATAACAAATTGCATCTTAAGGTAGGAACATGAAGAACCGACTCAAGTGTTAAGTCTTTGGATACTTAAATTGACCCTATTCCGGCAACCGAAGATAAGGATCCATCTGCAATTTTTACTTTAACAAGACTATGACTAGGGGTATAAAAGAGAAAAAAATCAGAGACACCTGTCATGTGGTCGGAGGCACTAGAATCAATGATCCATGGTTCCTTAGAGTGGAAGGTAGACTTAATGGATGAGTGAAAGTTACCAATTTGGGCTACAGAACAGGATCCGGGATTTGGAGTTGACGAGGATGAGGCAAGTGATTGATTGAGGAGGCGATAGAGTTGCTCAATCTGTTCTTTGCTAAATGGAAGGGATTTCTGGTTTTCTGTTGCTGCTCTTTTGTCTTGGTTTGATTGAGTTTGAAGCGCTCGTCCTTCATTCTGTCTTCGGGGAACCCAATTTGCGGGTTTACCATGAATTTTCCAGCATGTGTCACGTGTATGTCCTTGTCGATTACAATGGTCACACCACATTCGTTCTCCTCGCCGTGGGTTTCTAGACTCACTGTTGTTCCTTATTGGTTGTGCAATATTCCTGATTGCCAGAGCCGAGCTCTCTGTTGATGCTCCACCGGATGTTTCTTCCTTTGACAACATGACCTTCCGGCGATTCTTTTCTCTACGAACCACGGCAAAGGCTTCTTCGGTTGTTGGGAATGGCATTCTGCTTAAAACACGGCCCCTGACTTCGTTAAGATCTCGATTCAATCCTACAAGAAAATCAAATACCCGTTCTTTTTCAAGAATCTATCTCTGCTTTACATTGCACGTAGGACAAACCGAATCTTCTTCCAGAAAAAGATCCAATTCCTGCCAATTGTCTTGCAGATCGGTGAAGTACTCGGTAACCGATTTGGTTCCTTGCTTCATCTCCTTCAGTTTTGTGCGAATTTCAAAAACCTGTGAGGCATTGCCAAGATCGGAATATGTTCTTTTTTGCAGTATCCCATAAGTCTTTAGCAGTAGGAAGAAAGAGATATCGGCGGCTGATCATGGGCTCCATGGAGTTGATAAGCCATGCGTGTACAATCGAGTTTTCGGCAAACCACTTTTTGTATGTAGAGTCGGTCGGTGCTGGAGCTTTAGCTTCACCAGTGATGTATTTGAATTTTCCCCTACCACAGATCACAATTTTTACTGATTGAGACCATTGAAGATAATTTTTTCCATTGAGTTTGTGAGCCGTAATTTGGAGAGAGTTATTGTCTCCACCTTGAAACGCCATGACGGACTGATCGGCGTGAGTTTTATCGGAGTTTTTTTATTTGGAATCATCTCCACGTGAGGACCCCATCATGGCTGTTTTTGCCATTGAAATATTCAGAGTTCAATGCTCTGATACCATGAACGCAGTTTAAATAAATCTGCCTTACTTTATTAATCGAAAGAAAGTTCACTTAAATAGACTAGGGCTTGAATACCGAGTCCATTATCTTCTCTAAGATAATCTATCCTATTTGAATTCAAATACTAATTGATAATTCCTAATCTAAATTACCGGAAATAATAAACTAAATAATAAAGATAACTATTTGACTTATTCAACCTATCTCTAAAAAATCTTATCTGCTAACAAAATATAAGACTCTGCGGTCCCATATCATAACCTGAGTTTCACCGTTGGCATGTGAATTTGCAATTGGTTGATAAGAATGCTTTATTGTTAAAACTCACGGTTGTCTTTCCTTGTGTACTTTCAGGCCTGGGTGTTGGAGCAAGCAAATTACACCAAGGTAATACAGCATCATGTTTTATGAATAATATCAATGCTCTTTTTTGTTTAATTTGACAGAATAGTAGTGGTGCCATCCGACTCAATAAAACTAAATATCATAAAGTTAAAAATAAACTTAGAAGAACAAAATATATATATATATATATATATTAATAGTTACTCCAATATTTATCCATAAATAGATGTCATTGTTTTAGCCGTAAGATATTAATCCGACGGTTGTAATAAATTAGATAGTTGACAAAACATTTATGAGAATTAATTAAATTAGATTTTTATCATGTCACGTCATCAAATTTTCATAATTGATGGGTACTCACGATTGGAACGTAACCATTAAAAACTCATCTTTATATATATATATATATATATATATTAAGTTAACAACAACAGCAACAAGAAGCCTTAATCTCAATTTAATTGGGGTCAGCTATATGGATTTTACTTTTTCACGCACCTCTGTTCGAAATTAGACTTTCCTAAATGCCTAGATCTAGAATGTCTTTCCTGACTACTTCGGTCCACGTAATTCTTGCTCTACCCGTCCCTCTCCTAGTATTAGGTATAAGAATGTCCTCCCAAGCATGAACTGGTGCTTCTAGCGGTCTTCGTTAGACATGCCCGTACCACCTCAAGCGGCCCTCGCGCACCTTATCTTCTATTGGTGCTACACCTACTTTTCTACGAATAACTTCATTCCTTATGCGATCCATTCTTGTTTGGCCACTCATCCATCTTAATATACACATTTCTGCTACACTCATCTTACATGTATGTTGTCTCTTAATGGCCCAACATTCACTATCATATAACATAGTTAGGATGATTGCAGTCCTATAGAACTTTTCTTTCAACTTAATAGGCATTTTGCCATCACATAAAACTCCCGTAGCATTCTTCCACTTAACCCACCATGCCTTAATCCTATGTTGAATATCTTCTTCTATATCTCTTTCGTACTGCACTATAGACCTAAGGTACCTCAACTTTCTAGAAGCTCCAATCTCCACCCCATCTAAAGAAATTCCATCACTTTGATTACTTGAGTTACTAAACCTAAAGTGCATGTATTCAGTTTTCGTCTTACTTAAATCTCTTCGTTTCGAGAGTCTGTCTCCACAGTTCTAACTTACAGTTAACTCATTCCCTATGTTCATCCATAAAACTATATCATGCGCAAAAAGCATACACCAAGGAACTCTATCTTGAATTTCTCTTGTCAGCTCATCCATCACGATGGTGAAAAGATAAGGACTAAAAGCAGATCCTTGATGAAGGCCGATCCAAATGGGGAACTCTGCCGTGTAGCCTCCAGCAGTTCTCACACTCGTGACCACCCCATCGTACATGTCCTTAATTACTTTAATATACCTCACATGTACTCCTCTCTTTTCTAGCACCCACCATAAAACTCCCATCGGTACCCTATCATCTGCCTTTTCTAAATCTATAAAGATCATATGTAAGTCCGTCTTGGCTTCTCTGTACCTTTCCATTAGCATCTTAAGAAGAAAAATGGCTTATGTGGTTGATCTGCCTGGCATGAAGCTAAATTGGTTATCTGAGATGGTAGTTGTGGCCCTTAATCTCCGTTCATCAACTCTCTCCAAAAGTTTCATAGTGTGACTTATTAACTTTATGCCCCTATAATTGTTACAATTCAATACATCTCCTTTATTCTTGAAGATGGGGACAATAATACTTTTTCTCTACGCATCAAGCATGTGCTCTTTTTTTAGTATCTCATTAAAAAGCTTAATGAGTCATACAATTCTAACATCTCCTAACGCCATCCAAACCCCTATTGGAATATCATCTGGCCCACATGTCTTCTCCTTTTTCATTTTCTGTAGTGCAGTTTTAACTTCCGAGACTCTGATTCCTCTTATATACATCACATAAGGTTCTCCTTGTGACCTAAGATCGTCAAACTCTAACGCATGATCATCATTATAAAGCTTCTTAAAGTAACTCATCCACCTTTCCCTAATGTCTTTATCTTTTGTCAGAACCTGATCTGTATCATCATTAACACACCTCACTTAATTTAAGTTCCGACACTCCATTTCTCTTATCTTAGTTTATATATATCATTCTCTCCTTTTCTAGTCTCAAGTTTCCTATATACCTCATCTAAGTTAACAAGAACTATAATTTTGATATTGATTTTGAGTTTGTTTGTGTGGTACAGGATGCAATTGCAGGTTTCTACCGATTCATATGGAATCTCTTCTATGCAGAGTATATTATATTTCCTTTCATATAGCAAAATAAACCTTAACTGTCTTGATCCTATACTGGAGAGAGTGAGAGAAATGTGTACAACGTTAACGAATTGTAGGTATTGCAGTTAATGTGAGGAGAATATTTTGTTATACTGTATGTAAATATTGCGGTAAATAATCAAAATGATTCTTGTTCTTCTCTTTCCACTTTTCAACAGTAAATATTATTGTAATTAACTCTCCATATTATTTCTACAATTTACAGTTTTAAATTCATTTTTTTTTGAAGAAATCTTTGTTAAGAATCTAATTATTGATTAAGGAAAGCATGTCGTTTTTCATTAAAAACGACGTGTGGTTTACTGGCAGCCAAATGAACGACAATCAAGAAACTTGCACGCGCAAATTAAAATAAAAACGACACGTCTTTTGAAGTTGAAGTAATAACATACATACTGAATTGGACACAAACCTTCCTCGGAAAAAGAAAAAAAAAATCGACAAAGCGACGTGTAGTTTTCTTGTATTAAAAAAAAAGAAAGAAAAAGAAAAACAGAGATGTTACTTGTAATAGATACTAATATTACTTGTAAAACAATGACGAGGACAACATAATATTACTTGTAATAAGTACTAATTATCTACAGATTGCCTTTCAACTCGAAATAATATGATTTTAAAGAACAAAAACATTGAAACTGACTCTTCTTTCTTTCTTTTCAATTATTCTATGGAAAGAGGGCAGTCAGTAGTAAAACAAGAAAATACCCTCTTCGGTTCTCATTCCTATTTTATCACAAAAAAAGCTACAAGCTTTAGAACTAAAAAAGAATCAAAGAATGGTATAGAAAAAGGACAACCATTTCCCTTTAGTGCCTTTTTATATCCCCACGTGATATAGTACTAGTCATTGATCTATTGTCGTGTCCTGTCTGAGGACATGAAATTGCATTATGTATTAGTTGTGTCTCTACCTAAAGAAGTTGGAGTCATCAAGACCTTTTGGTAGAACCGAGACGGGTTCCTAGGAGATGAACTAGAGCCCCTTGATCTAGGAGACAAGTTTGCTTGTTCCAAAACTCTGAACTGAAGCTCTGAAGGGTAATCCCTCATACAACCAATCCTCGGGCCAGCCCCGGTTGACCATCTGGTCGATAAATGCTGAGCCAACTGATATGACTTCATTCCCTTGTGTGAATCTATCCTCTGAATAATCTTTTCCTTCGGGATCATTGGCTTCTTGTCCTCCTCTTCTTGATCTTCGTCGTCAAACAAGTTCCACTTCGGAAACATGAAATCTTCCTCTGTCAGGAATGACTCTTCAGCTGTCTCGTAACCGTCTTCTGAAATAGAGTCCTGACGGTGATCCCCGTGGCCACTTGACTGGAGTGATTCCTTGTTGACAATGTCAACAACAAGATGGTTTCGTTCTGGTATTTCGAGTTTGGTTAACTTTGAGCATAAAACTCTTGGCAACCTTGGGATGACTGGATTTGTATTCGCTGCAGCATCAGAGTCCTGCTGGCCCAAGCTTTCGGTATTTTCTGTTGCGGCATCCTTAGTTGAAGCTGCTTTGGATAGACTGCTTCGGATGCTGGCGTCGAAGCTCTTTTTGGAGAATAAGCCAGTGGTTTCCTCATCACTTGGGCTTTTCTGGTGATAACCATAGGAGAATAACTTTTAGTGATTTAAATTCGTCTTATGACATTGGTCTATCTTAAACATATGGAGAAGAAAAGACAATGGCTTTTGGCTAGCTACTAGAAAGCATTTTTGTTCACTGACATGTTAGGATCTTGAATCCACAAAACAATCATTATATTAAACATGGGATTCTCTCATTTTTGGCTAGTTATGTTTCATCTGTCTTGTCATCTAATACAAGAAAACTGCATTTTAAATTGTAGCATAATATGGAAACCATCTTGAAATTACAAGAGTACAAAATGTATACCTTTACGTTAGTAAGATCTACGTTGTGCTCCGTGAGGAATGACATAAATTCCTGAAAATTTTCTTCAGTTGGGAGATAATGCCCGCTGTGTGGCCAAACTGCCTATAAAATTAGAAACAAAAGTAACATGTCAGTGTGAAAAAGATCAATATTTAACAGACATTAAGTATTCGATCTACAGTAACATCACGAGTTTTTTTTGGTCGTATCTACCTTTAGAATACCATCTTCCACTATTAATCTTCCAGCAGACAAGGTAGCCCCGCCCGCCAAGAAGCTTGAATGTTGAAATGTGCCTTTGTTCTTCATCCCAACATACAAGGTCTTTGATGTGCTAAGAACAAATATCCACTTAGCATCTTTGGGTCCTTCTTTTGTATCAAGAAGTTCCCCGCTCTTCTTGTACATAAATTTGCCCTCCTGTACTGAAACTTCATATGCCTCTCTTTCTGTCTGCATAATGAAGTAACAAGCTCAACATTTTGTTTCGTTATTTTTACAAGGAGCTTATTCAAACATAAAAAGGATGGATAACAAGGGAAAATTTGGCGTACTGGCCCGAGATACTTGATGCACTGCTGTTGAAGCTTCGATCGGGGGCATATATCTAAATTAACTTCTTTCCCTTCTCCTATATCGAGCCTGCAATTCAGAAGTCCTATTATTCTTCAGTATTTTAGTAGTCAAAGCAAAAGAGAATTTGATAATAAAATGTGTGATTTCCCCAAGTAATCCCACCAATAGAAAAACGGCTGTTTACTCTGACAGTGAAGCCATTTAGCATAGTAAAATTGAAGATTATGGCCATAGCGATGTCGAGGATCTATCTATTGACAAGAAGGAATAACATTAGGAAGATGCCACGAGGAAAATCTAATAGTCAGTTTCAAATGTTATAGTTTGACAATGATAATACTTACTGCCTCAAGCCAATGCTGTAAAGCGAGTTTACGAGCCTTTTCATCCTTCGACAAGCCTTTTCCTACCTGCAGAAGCAGTAAAGAACCACCAACTTAGAACCAAAGCATAGCAATATTAGCTTAAGTGCGTGTAAAATGGCCTTATTCTTACCTTGGCAGCTCTGGTCCTCGCTCTTGACCAACGCGAAATTGCAGTCTCGGGCTTCTCAATATCGAAGAATGATATTGAGCTCCGCTTTAGTTCTGCAAAATCTAGCAGCTTCCACCTACACGGTGAGTTACAAGCACAAAAAAACGTTACAACATGCTTCAGAAGACACCAAAACAAACATAAAACTGTTCAATTCTTCTCATGATCCTCGTCGAAAAAATAAAATCCATATTAGAATTGGTCATGAAAAGTAAATAATACAAACCATCTTTGTTCGACCATAACTGCACAATCCGCTAGCCGTCTCCTAGTCCTGAAACTTTTGTACACCTTTTGCAGCTTCAATGCTGCATGGTTTCTCTGATTTCCCGCCTCGGGCTCTGGTGGAATCGATTTCTCTTCGGACAAGGCATCTGATCTGGGCAATTTTTCTCCGAAATCCCGGATCTTCTTCGAACTTGCTCCTCTACCAAACACATTGTTCTCCATAGTTGCTGTGGGAGTTTTGAAAGACAACATTCTCTCCAGTTCCTTCCTCTTCAAGCTAAGTGACCGTTCGAATACAAACTTGGCTGAACCATAAGATTTCAATATAGTCGTTGCTGGTTCCGACTCTCGGCCATTGAAGCTGACTGACCTTAATAGGCTCTTGGCCTCTCCTCCCCCAAAATTGATCGACTTAAATATAAAATTTTCAAAGCGACTATCCAAATCATTAAAATCTCCAAAAGGACATGAAAACAATGTTCCCATTTGACTAAAATGGGATATCTTAGTTGTGTCTCTGTAGTCCCAAGACCTCAATAGAATGGGGCCTCAGAAACCTGTTAAAAATTGAACACAAATATAAGACCTAAAAGACATCATCATTAATGGAGATTTTACTTGCATTACATGGAGAGGCGATGTTCTTTCAAATCATGGGCAGGTAAGGAAAAAAAATACCAAAAAAAAAAAAAAAAACCAAATAAAAAACCCAAATAAAAAGCTTGAATATTTGCTTACAAACCAAGGTCAAACACATTAAAGGCAGTACATTTGACCGAAAGCCAACATATGCGTTTCCAAGCTACATTGTAATCACAACAAAAGAAAGGAAAAATTAGCAACACTTTACCTTAAAAAAACTTTCGCACAAGAACACCATGACCCACAAGAAAACATTGTATGAAACGTCCAAAAAAAAATTCTTCTTTAAAAAAAAAAAAAAAGATGTGGGGTATGTAAATGTAATACAAAAGCCATACCTTTTAATCTCAGAAACAGTGGAATCAGAGATGGGAGGGCAGAGAAAACGTAGAGAGAGAGAAGGTCAAAAATGGGGAAGGTTGGCAGGTAACAATGTGAGAGAGAGCGGAGAATGTGGGAGAGAGAGAGGGTTCAACTCTCTTAGGAGTTTTTTTGCATTGTTCTTGTGTTGAGGTTCAAAATGTAATGTGTAATTTCTCTCTCGTTGAAGTTGCTCTCTCTCTCTCTCTAATGTCTGTCTTACAAAAGCTCCGATTATAGGTTGGCCTCTATTGCTATTCTTGCATGATTTATATATGTATGTATATATATATATAGGAGAGAGGGAGAGAGAGGGAGAGAGAGAGACGGTGGAGAGTGTAAGAGAGAGAGATTGGACAGCTTCAATATTTTCTTTTTGTTGGCTACAATGGACGAAAAAAATATATATTAGGAAATTTACCGGTATATGGGAAAAATATTTTACCGGTATTGAATATCCATAGAACATAAAAAAAATTATGTCATGCAAAATAAAAGACCACATTATATAGTGTTATTTTCACGCTTTTTAATAACAACTATAGCATTTACAGATAGCACAACCTTAATTTATTTTTTCAATTTCCTTTAACGAATAAGAACAATAAAACAATTAAAATACCTTAATTGTTCGGTTTCTTAAGCGTACAATGTGTCACCGAATTAAGCAGCTAAATCAATTAAAATAGTAGATGATACAAATAACAAGACAACTTCGATAATTAAAAGAGACTCAAAAATAGAGAAAAGAGAAATAGCCCAAAAATGGGCTACCTTATTCCCAATCCGAGAAACATAATATCACTTACAACCATTAGCAAGAAGAGACATCTGAATCCTTTTAATAACAAAATAATCATCGGGCAAATTATTGAAAACACAATTATTAACAGCATTCACAACATTAACAACATATGTTTCAAATTTCAACAGTAGCCATTCAAATATCAACCTAGTGAGCAAAATCCAACCCAGCATTATTGTTCAGTTTCTTTGGTCACTAGCTTGTTTGCTTGATCAAATCCAGGAGCATTTTAGTTTTATATATTACAATTGATGATTATCGATACACTTAATTAGTAAGACATGGTTTTTAACTATCTGACTAAATTTCATTAAATTATTATACTTTTTTTTTATATGTAATATGATATTAAGATGATCTAAACCAAATTTGGGAAGAACAGAGGTGGAGATGCCAACAAACCCACATGTTATCATTAGCTAAAGTCTGCAAACTAGTGTGGGGGACCATGACTTCAAAATGTTGCCACTTAATTACTCCAAACAAAGACTGCTATACACTGTATTACTACCATAAAATGCTAGTTAAGTTAATTATATTACACTAATCACGGTATAAACACTTTGGTTTAGATAAAATCAATATGTCAAGTTTGGTTGAACTAAATTGATACAGGATATCTTCGGTGGATAAGACTATTGACAAAGCAGATCTTAGAGTTAGCTAAAAATACTCTTTTTTTTTAAGTTAAAAAAATACTTAAATCTTTTTCGAGTCATGCTAATTCATACCAAGGTTCGCTCAATAATAAAATAAATAGACTTGTCCGGCAGTGGAAGACAACCTGTTTAGGATCCTTTGAACAAAAAAAAAGAAAAAAAAAAAAACGTTTAGGATGACATCATGATATTTTAAGCAAAAGGTACTGCACCAAATAAATAAATATAAGTAATTTTTTATGATTAAATATAAGTAAATTTACTAAAAATATATTAATCAAGAATGAGAGATAAAATTTAAATTCATGTATTTTTAAGGATAAATTCTGTAATTTTCTCTTAGAAGTAGAAAAAGAAAAAAAAATAATTCAACTAAAGTCGTTCTAATAATTTTGTATAAGGAAACTTGATTCATTCAATTTTTTTTTTTTTTTTTTTTTTTTTTGAGGTACACGGATATTTTTTAACCTTCTTATTTTTCTCAATCCTGAAATTTGACTTTGAGGATATGCTATTATAACAAACTAAATTGATGCCAAACAGAATATTGCATGGCTTTTTGATTGAGCGTGACCAAGTCTTATTCTCCGAAAGGGAGGGGGAAAAAAAAAAGAAAAAAAAAAAAGAGGTATTGGTCAATTGTAAATTATAGAATAAAGCTACTAGCTAAGTCTTATTAGTATATCCAATTAATGTGTAATTTCATCTAATTAATTTTGAGCGTCAAATTTGCGTTTCGTTGAACTGAAAATGACACATTATAACATTCCAAGAAATTTTGTGCTGGGCATTGACTGCAATAGACTAGTTCAAATTTCATGATGCAACAAAAATAGTTTCTTTGTTAATGAAAATAAGATAATTTCGTGATAATTGGTATGCTATTCAACATTTACCTACCCAATATCATAGACTACATTATTCCAACTTAAGATAATGTCTTGAAGATATTACCGTGTTTGTAAGAATAAAAGAATATTTGAGGGCCTGTGTAATGGTAAATTCGCGTAATATATAAATATATATTTTTGCAGAAAAAGGATGACGGTGTTCTCATAGTCCCTTCCAGTGTCTATAAAAGAAATTAAGAGCATGTTTGGTTTATAGATTTAAACTAGTGATTCTTGATTTTAATTTTTTTTAAGAGAAAAATATTGTACCATAATTAAAACTATAGGTTTGAATCCATAAAACAAACAACCACATAGATTCCACAGGTACAATGAGTTTAACCGTTAAATTTTTTTATAATCACATCACATTAAAAACATATACATAATAGATAGCTTCTAATTCACATATAACGACTGATAATTAAAAAAAAATACTGGTAATTTATTTTTCGATTATATGAGAGAAGCTCCCAAACACATCATCTTAAATTCAAAATAAAATTATGGGCTTGTTTGGTAACGTATGATTTTGTTTCAGTACAAAAGTAAAAATGATATTGTTTTGAAAATTATTCTAAGACCGATTTTAAAATTACATTTAGTTGGTTTTTTAAGAAATTATTTTGAGTATAATAAAAAAGTGAAATCGTATTTGGTTATTATTTTTAATTAATATATTAAAACATTGTTAAAAAGTACTAAAAATGAAAACAAAAAAGAAAAAATAACTTATAATCATTTTCTAATTCCTTCACAAAAACTATTCTCAGTATATTTATTTTCATTTTCATTTTTAAAACATTTACTAAATAAACACGATTTACATGCCATTTTTATTTTTATGTCTTAAAAAATATGTAAAAACATATTCAAAAATTAATTTTAAACGCACTAAATATTACTGTAACAAAACTCAAATTCTAAACTCGAATCAGCGAAATAATACCCCTATATTCCTTAAGTTCTTAATCCACAACACAAATTCGACGAATTATAATAATAAAAAATATAAAAATACAAAACGTTGTCGGGAAAATGGATCTAAGAGGTTGTTTAATTAGGAGATTTATACCCCGATTTAAATCATGGTTCATGATTTATTATAATATTTTCTCTCACAAAAAATACACATAAATTAAAAATAATTTTAATTTTATAATTTTAATTTATAAATCAAACGTTTCGTAAGTCAATGTGATTAGAAGGCTCTGCCCCGTGATTGTACACAAAAGTACAACCACGTCTCCAAACTTAGAAACACAAATGAGGCACACTTTTAATACGTGTGACTACATGGTTGGTCGGTGTCGTTCACGCGCATGTAGTGAAAATGAATGTGGGGTTAATGTGGGATGCATATGCAACACTAGAGGGGTTGTCGTAGCAGAGCCAACTGTCGTTTTTGCATATTCCCATGCATATAATACGAGCTATAATATACTCTGACAAAGAAAAAAGCCATATATATATATATATACGCACACACATTCTCTACGTACTATGTAGTACATATGTGTACGGAGATCCACACGTGGCGGTGTGGCCTGACATTTTCCATTTTTATTTTTATTAATAAAAAATGAGAAGACGCGAGACATGTTTAGTAGGTACTCTTGCATGGATCGTGATTAAGGGGCCGGTGGCTGTTTCAGGTGACTAATGAACAATTGCGCATTATTTTTAGCAAAAAAAAAAAAAAAAAAAAGAAAAAAAGGTCACAATAACTATGATTTTACTTAACAACATGAAATGAACTCCTAATTCCTTGGTAAGAGGACTAATTAGATGTTGAATATGCATAACTTCATTGGAACATTATGTGACCGGGTATATTAATTCGATCTATTGTCAAAATATACAAAATATTGCAATAGAATTCGTATTAAATAAAAATATATATATAATAACTTAATGAATTTGATGAATATTTGACGGTTAAAAATTATATTTTGTTATTATATTTTTTGTGTTAAAATAATTCTCCAATAAATTATTGTAAGGACTAAAATAATCTTAATAAGTTCGCTACATTCTACATTTTGTTATCCTATAACATTTATTGTGTATGGCACCTTCAAATTGATATGAATTTGACCTAAAATGGCATATTAATCACCAAGACACCAACATAATGTTCACATAAAAAATAGACAAATAAAATAAAGAGTTT